GTTTGGGACCCACAACGACGCAATGGAAATCCCACCGTCAGATGAAAACATTTCATTACGTACCTTGAGCTGGTTTAAAGCAGTAGGGCAGTGAGTGAGGAAATAGACCGCCAGTGTCATAGCCGTAGGCACAGTCTCTTCTCCCGGGATCATCATCTCGATGATGTTCCCGCTGATCAAATCCAACGTTAAGGATTGTTTCTCATTTGCTTCCCCATTGTCACGTAGCAGCACGTCCACCGCATCGTTCGCCACACCCTTCCCACCATCACCCTCTGATGTCTCCATCGCCAATTTTCTCTCCTCCACTATCTTCCTCACCATTTTCAGCAACCTTTCTTTAGCCTGCATCAAAATCACCACGAAAATGAAACATCACCGAATGCATTATTGTTATATCTTATTAATATTAAGATTTGCGTTGCGTTGCGTTGATCTTAAGATATGATTATGTAAGTTTTTACATAAATTATAAACTGTATGATTTTTAAATGAAACCGTACAAGAATACGGTTTTTAGTTTTACCTTCAGTGATTTGTGAAGTCTGGTTCCTGGAAGTTTGATGGGTAAGCATATTAAACCCTTGATGAACTCTTCAAATTCTCTTTTGAGGAAGTTTAGATCTTCTCCAGGGCCTACACTCAGCAACACTTTCACCAAAATTTGGAATGTTATCTGAGAGATTCCCATAAATAAAGAAATTAAGTACTTTAAGAATAATATTCATTTTTTCATTTTCAATTGAAGTGAGTACCCTCCTTAATTTGGAATGTGTTTTGAATTGACCTTTTTGGTTTCTTCTTGTACAAGAACAGGGTTGATCATGCCTTGCCAAGAAGCCAATGTGAATTTGACAAGGTTTTCGATGTCTCTTGTGATTCGAGCTTTGAACTGCGGCGACCGGAGGAAGCCACCTATGAGTGCATGGACTCTCCGGTGAAGGCTTCCGTTCATCTGAAGAATGGAATGGTCGCCGAGTAACTCTCTAATGGATTTGGGGTAAGCAGGGAAGAAAATGTTGCCCTGGTTCTGTAAAACCACCTTGTTCACCTCAGGATCTGTGGACACAATAATCGGAGTTCCAAGGATATGCGTTTTGAACACCTCCCCGTACCTGAAAAAGGAAGCAGAGATTACAGAAGGCTGTAGTTGCTGCCTGCACACGGCAACAAGAGAGTCACACAGCCTTAGACTCTAGAGACAGGACACCAAGGCTGAAGGCCTAGTTCCTGCAACACAGGCTTTTGTAATCACTTTTTTCTTCTACTACTTCTGGCTGCTCTGATCAAGTAAATGATGTTGTAATGAATTTATGTCAAATAAAGGAGCAGAATTTTGTCCTTTTGCGGAACACAGAAAGTCATTGCTACCGGTGACAAATTGTGATGAACTAATATTGCCATGGAGAAAAGCATAAAAAAGGGACTAGATATTAAAACGGAATACAAATCCCAAAACAAATATGGAGATCTTCATTCTTAAATTATGTTTTTAGATTGGGGAACGCATGTTACACAGAGATCACATAAAATACCCCATCCAAACTACATGCATGAATATGAACCACAATTACAATATATTAGTAAAATGATAATTTATTCAAAGCAGAAAATAACAAAAAGAAAAATGATGATAACATAATGATGGTCATGATCATAATGGGACACTGATTTTTAAACATAGGGTTTATACTTTACATAATCCAAAAGAAAGCTATATATATTATCATGAATTTTTTTTATTTAAACAAAGGGGGAAATTAAGAAATTAGGATGATCCGGGCTGATCTCACAGGAAACATTGATTTAGGGGAGGAAAATGCGTTGAATGAATTGATATTGAAGAATAAAAAGCGGAAGAAAACAGATAACAAGAAGAAGACATTCACAAAAGCAAATATCAAGGGGAAGAAATAGGGCTTACAGAAATTTGCGTTTGTCCATGAAACTGACAGGTCGAGAGGAGTAGCCAGAAGCAATGAAGTCAAGAGTTTCTCCTATCAAAGGCCAACCTAAATTTCCTTTCGGAACTCCCTTCTTGTTTTCCATCCTATCCATCTTCTTCTTATACCAAAACAACCCCATAACAAGACCCATCAACAACACCCAGCTCCACTCCATCATCCCCATATCTAAACTACTGCAAACCCTAGCTATATTTTACCTACTGTTTATATGCAACTAGGGAAAGGAGAGAAGGAAGAAGGTAGTATAGAAGAAGAAGGTATTTAGGAAGTCAGAGAAGACGGAAGCTTGGTTTGTCCTGGTAAAAGAGGGGGGGGGAGGGCGGGGGTTATGGACCTCTTTTAAGGGAGAGATTTGGAAGATCTAGAGCTTGCAGCTATACCATTAAATGTGGTGGCCACATCGGGTGCACCAAATGCTCCACGCTTGTTCCATTTTGTCTTCTCTCCATTTAGATAGAGATGCATAATAGAGGATGGAACGCCTTGTGGGGTAGATTTAAAGTTTAAACCTTCTGTTTTTCTTTTGATTAGTCCAGCCAAATCTCAATCTGTTTTTTGGAAAATAGGTAATGGCAAATCTCAATCTGTTGAAGCTAAGTGCCTGAATAGATATTGATACATAGATAATTTTTTTATATAATTTTTATATATTATTAGATAAATAAATATATATATAATATTATGAGTAAATTAAATAAAAAATCAATTAAGCATTTATCAAATCAGTAAAAACGCTTTTTGTATGAAAAAATTGTATCAAAAAGTTGACTTCCAATCATTTTCCCAAGGGCGTTGCTATAGATGAACTTTTTAATATCATTTTTTAATATAATTTTTATATGTCATTAAATAAATAGATGTATCTAATATTATAGATTCTACATGAATTAAAAGAATTAATCATTTAAATGATACGTTAAAACTATATAAAAAATAATATAAAAAGTTGTCTCAAAATCATTTTCTTTTTCCCAAATAAAGATATATATATTTGTTAAATGAAATGCCTTATTTTGGATCTCATATATATGGAAAATAAAGCAATTTGCTAACTAATTAGTTCTCAATATGGAAATGAACTTTTTCATCCTCATTGGAATATCCCCCTCCACTTGGATGGAAAGTTGGCTACGAGCAGAGTCATGCTACTCAAGCTAAATATATAATTTGTGTAAGGAGAAAAATGCAAATAAAGGTACAAAATTGGTTTTTTTTAGGGGGAAAATTATAATTTAACTATTTGTGGGTTAAGATTAGTGCATAAATAAAAAGACTCCAAATTTTAAAATGTGCATATAACATATTTATGATTTAAAATAAGTGCATATAAAGACCTAAAATTTTAAAATATGTAAATAAAGACTTAAGGTTTGTAGTAGGTTTACATCACCACTTGAAATTATATGAAATTATCTTAAATATCCTTATTTTTCTTTTTTCTTTTTCTTTTTTTCATTCTTTTAGGTTAGGGGTTTTTAAGAAATTTAAAGTGATTATTTGATCATGTGCAAACTTCCAGTGTTCATGTGCACATTTTGATACCTTGAATCTTTATCTGCACATACTCAAAACCATAAATATGATATATGCACATTTTAAAACCCTAAGTATTTATCTACACTTGTCTCAAACTACTAGTAGCTAAATTACAATTTCTCTTTTTTAAATTTTATGAGGGTGAATTTGACTGGTTTGTAAATAAGGTAATGAACTTTTAACTTATTGTATTCAAAGATATCAATTTTATATACTTTTTTTATTCAAGAATTAATTAGATAATTAAAAAGTCATTTGACACATTAATATCATTATTTAATTAATT